AACTAATTGTGCGAGAACTCACTCATCACCAAGGGGATGGCACCAAGTCACTCATGAAGGATTTGCCCCCATAATCCAAGCAGTTCCCACTAGGCCCCATCTCCAGTACCAGAAATCACATTTCAGCATAAGACTTAGATGGGACACACATCCAAACCGTATCTTAGTGCTTTACACAGCCCGCTCCATCTATCTCTCCTCTTTGTCATGCGTGTTCATTGACTTTCTCCCAGAAAGTCCTCACTGCTTACTTCTGGCTTTAAATCTATTGAGTAAAAGTTTATCTGAAGGAAATTTAATCAATAATTTAAGACAGTAATAGGTTACTCCTAGGGAGAGTTGTGCTCACAGCTTTGTTAATTTGCCATGGTAGCATTCCTTATCACTGGCTGAAACTCAAGTAAAGGAGTGAAAGATCAAGCATTTATTGAGAAACTAGTTTGTGCCTAGAGTCATGCTAAGGATTATGGTGACAAAAACAAAAGGTTAGTTTCTTGGCACTTGTTGAAGATGCATGTATTTAACTTACAAAGAATATACACAATCGTGTGTTGTTATCAAATACTAAAAAGTACATAGTGGGGGTTTAACAATGAAGCACAGACAGACTGAGCAGAAAAAAAATTAGTGAAGGGAGGTATCATTTTGAATTGAGAATTCACAGAGCTATTGGAACTTGAGTTGAGTAGATTTAAGATGTGGGTCATTCCATTTAGAGAAAACAGCTTGCACAAAGGCAAAATATGTAAATATATATGAATAGTACACATAGTACAGAGATGACAGGAAACAAATAATAGAAAAGCTTAGTCTTGGGCCAGGCGCGGTGGCTCACGCCTGTAATCCCAGCACTTTGGGAGGCCAAGGCGGGTGGATCACGAGGTCAAGAGATCGAGACCATCCTGGTCAACATGGTGAAACCCCGTCTCTACTAAAAATACAAAAAAAAAAAAAAAGTTAGCTGGGCACGGTGGTGTGTGCCTGTAATCCCAGCTACTTGGGAGGCTGAGGCAGGAGAATTGCCTGAACCCAGGAGGCGGAGGTGGTGGTGAGCTGAGATTGCACTATTGCACTCCATCCTGGGTAACAAGAGCGAAACTCCATCTCAAAAAAGAAAAAAGAAAGAAAAAAAGAAAAGCTTAGTCTTAAACATGCAGCACTGTTTTATATTTTGCATTTTTAATTTTGGGCATAGAATTTCACATATGTTGGGAAAATTGTAGAAATTCTTATTCTAATTAAGGAAGGTAGGTTTGAACGTAAGCATATTTTAAATAGTCATGCTTTTTACCATTTTTTCCTCAAAGTTATGGATTGTGGCGTTTCTTTGTAATTTTTGCTAACTTCAAAATGTAAACTATGAAGGTTTTCTGAAATATCAATTCTGAAATTTTTTTTTCTGCTACTATTGATCTAAAAATTGCTACTTTAAGCAGGCTCTTTTCATAGATTAAAAATGCTCAAAATTACTTGGATGTTATGTACTGGTGTTTCATAAACTTCATTTTATTATAATTGTAAAAAGCTTCACTACATGGTTTATAAGCCACTGTTACAGTCTGGCTGTTAAGCTTAATTCTTTGGGTAATTACCATTTGAAATTTCAGTTGTCATTAATTCTTCATTGTGGAAAACTGGATTTATAACTTCAGTCAACACCAATATTCTCTATTATGGAGTAATAATATGTTCATAAGAAGTGCACATATTCAAAATAGTTTAAAATTATATGCACTATAATTTATATATTTCTTTAGTATCTTTAATTTTTATCAACTTGTTTATTTATTTTATATCATCTACTGTAGAATCCTAAATGGTAACAAATTATATCATTATAGAATAGGTGCAGGCCATCAAAGTATACATTCTTATGTAAATATTTTATTTTTGTTATATAATGAGTAACCTAAAAATAAATGCAGCTCATTCTCAGTAATAAGACAATGCTGACATATATTTCAGAGGATACAGTATTTCTAAAACTGAAAAGAAATTATAAAACATTAGGTTACATGAAATAAGATTCATGCTACATGAGCTTCAATATTGTAAAATCTATGGCTACTTACTAACAGTGGAAAAATTTGTGAGGAAAATGATTGTATGCTATATCTTTGCTTTCACTAACATCAAACATTATGGAGTGACAACTCTTAATAAGACTGCAGACTCCTTCACAACTTAGCCATCTATATTATTTACTTTTATGTCCCTAGCATTGATGATAGATGATGTTTATTCACAGTAATTCCTTTGCTCTCCATGTTTGTCATGAATGTAAGTGGAATTGACAATCTACTGCATTGACTTGGCCCTGTCACTTGCTTTGGTCAGTCAAATGTTAGTGGATGTAATGACTTTACATGTGCTTGTGTAGTATGACTCCTTCTCTTGCATTTCTGCCATTTACTATGAGAAAAATGTGTTCCATGTAGTTGGCAATTTCAAAATGAAAAAGACATGAGGATCAGAATGCAGTCTGTAGCATAACACAAGTCTATATGCACAAAGCACCTTTCATGCAGCCATGTTTTAGTTCTGAGATTTCTAGGTATGGGAGTTCCTTGAGCATATAATAGTGGTGATGAAATATCTAAATATTGGTTTCTAGAGGTTTTCTCAGTAGCAGGAGAGTAGCTGAGAAATAAAGGAGAAATTAGCTAGGCCAGGAGACTGCTCCATCTCTGGAGTTGCAGGTAATGGTTCAGATTATCTCAGAGATTCAAAGGTGCAGAAAGGTGCAGCATAAGTACATGGTTTTCCAGGTTAGCAGGGTCAGGCAGTTACCAGAAGATTCACAAGCATGACTTGGTCCAAGTTGAACAGAGAATAAAATCCTGAGTATGATTAAATTCATATGTACCACCACAAAATGAACAGAAGAGCATCAACACAGATTTGGTTAATACCTAGTGTTCAAGGAATGAGAAAAGGGGTAGAAAATAAACTTGAAGCATTGAAAAATTTTGTCAGGTCCTGAAACTGGGGGAAGTAGAAGTGGGAAGGAGCTTTTCTGAAGGATGTCATTGAGAAACGTGTATTTATACCTGAATAAGTTCTCTCCAATCTGCCTCAATTTTTAGGTAGTTTGCCTAGTGTAGCCAGATTACAGCCTTTGGGTGTGGCCTGTGTCACCAATGGGGAGGGCTCTGTAACTGCTGATGACTGCTATAGAAGGGTGGGTTTACTGTCAAGTCCTCCAGGTTCTACCCAGATGCTCCCAGGGGATCTGACAGAGGCTGGATTAAGGGAGCCTTCTGAAGAATAGAGTAGTACACAACCGGAGAACCACAATGTGGACTGAGCTTGAATCTCAAATGGACAGTGTCATAAGCAGACTCATAAAACTGCCTCTCAGTTTGGGGAACTGAAACTTAAAGTTTACTATTGAATATAGAAAAATTTTGGCCAGATGCTGTGGCTCACACCCAGCACCTTGGGAGGCTGGGGTGGGCTGATCACCTGAGGTCAGGAGTTGGAGACAGCCTAGCCAATATGGTGAAATCCAGTCTCTACTGAAAATATATAAATTAGCTGGGTGTGGCAGGGTGTGCCTGTAGTCCCACATACTCGGGAGGCTGGGCCCAGAGAATCACTTGAACGTGGGAGATAAAGGTTGTAGTGAGCCAAGGGTGCAACCACTGCACTCCAGCCTGGGCAACAGAGCAAGACTTAGTCCCCCTAGCCCCCCTCCCCACCAAAAAAGAAAAGTAAAAATGTAAAATACGTTTCTATCTTAAACATTAATTTATAGCATATTTACCTTTAGTAATAAATTTTTATAATATGTCATTACCAGGCAGACAACAAAACTTCAGATATTTACTTTCAAAGTGCCGTGAGTGTCTTGTGATAGAACTGCTGAGAGCAAGACTAAATAGCACTAATTTGATAATACGAATTATTGTGACTTGTTTGGATTTAGACTTTTGATAGATACGTCTAAATTTGAAGGGACTTTTTCTAGGAATATTGATATTTAATATCTGTTATATCTTCTATTGATAGATGATTATTAAGTTTGCTATTTTCTCTACAGAGTATTAGGAATTTCAGTTGTTACTGGTTGGTGGTTGCATTTCGTTTTGCTAAACAGAATGCTTAATAAAACATTTTAAGCTTGTTATGCCTTGGCTGTATTTTTTTTTGTAAATTCACTCAAAATTAATTGTAGTCTAGCTTACCTATAGTAATAGTCCTTAATTACCATTTTTTGGGGGGATTATTTTATATAGTAGTTGTTCTCCTTCAACTAGAGTGTATGTGCCTTCTCTGTCCTTCTCTGTCCCTCACCTGAATAATATAATGCTGACCATCATGCAGTAGGCACTGAACTTATAAATCATTTGAATTGGTTTTTTGATCTGAAATTCACAGCTGATGAAAGCAATTGAAAGTTGATGCTTTCTATAGTTATAATTTTTTTTCCAAGCTGAGATCTACTTGAATATCTCTCTTCTAAGAAAGAGGCAAAATTAAGTATTATCATAACTTTCAGACTTAGAATAAAATAATCACTTAATAGTGATGTGAATTTTCATAAACATTCACAGCTTAAAGAATTATAGCTCAATCTATTTTGTGCTTGAAAGAATTTATTTTTTAAACTGCGGTTCTGTGGTCCCAGGATAGAATGTGTATCTTTTGTGCAGCTTCACAAATTAGCATGTCCATTTACCTATAGAAATGCATAAAAGGATATTTCTTTAAAGATGTATTTGTATAACATCCTATAGTCTCCTCTTTATTGAAAGTAATAATAGCAATATTTCCAAAACTATTTAATTTTCCAGTCAATGCCAAACAGTCCCAATTATGAGAAAATGTGTTCCATTTTGAAAAATGCTGCATGCAGTTCTGATTTTCACTCAGAAAAATAAAAGGCAATTTAATTACAAATGATGCAATTTTATAGATTGGAAAAAAAATACAGAAATGCAGACTGCTTGCCAAGTGGGTCTGTGTGTAGTAAAGTAGATTTTGAAAACTTATACTCAAAACACAATCAAAAAGTCACAGAGTGTAAGGATATTATGGATGGCAAAGAGATATTTGGCAAATGTAAGCAGGGCAGGTAGTCCTTCACTTTTTTATTCAACCCCCTTTTCTAAATGCCCTCTGCTGAAGGAGTAAGGAAATGATGGTGGGAAAAAAGGTGGGAAACATTTTTCTCTTCATGTGGCTGAAATCTTTAACATTGCTCTCTTGATCTGTGGAAACAATAAGAAAGGAGAGACAGGCCATAGCCCTGGTTGATTAACCAGCCCACTATTTAAGAGCACAATTCCCCAAAACAGCCATTTTTTTCTATCTAATAAACATTAGTCTCAAATAACATATTCACTCTCTGATTTTATTGTAAACACCTTACAACCCAAACCTGAGTCTTCTGTTTTATCCTAATAGGTGGTCAAATGTGCTCCCTAGAGAACACCCTTCCTAAGTGTGTTCGGCTGAGTTTAACTATTCCACCTTTTTCCAAATGTGGTACTTTCTCATACCTTATAAATGCACATCTAATTTCATCATTCCATTAATCACATGCTGACATAGCAGCTTCAATGCTTTTAAATCAAGTATTTACAGATAACATTAGTTATATGAGTTCGGTCCTCAGATATCAGTATATGGAACACGTATTTATAGTTGACATTTGATTGTTTAACAATGGCCTCCTAACTGTTGGCCAAGTAATTTGCCTTCATCTGAAATCGTAGGTACTTGAACAAAGAGTTTTTTGAGTAGATCTTCCTAGTTAAAAACATTGAGTTATTATCTAAACTTATAAATAACTTTGGGACATTTGGTATAAGTTAGGGCTAGAACAATGCTGCTTAATTCCAGCCACATATATAATTAATTTAAATTCTTCTAGGTAAAAAGAAAAAATGTTGCAGAATGCTGCAGAGCTGCAAATGAAGACTAGTATCCCAGTAAAACCATTTGATCCTTTAAACTGGCTTGCTTCATTTCATAATGGATCAAAGACAATGGAGACAAAATGTAGGCAGTAAAATAATAATAAAATAAGTGTTGGTTCCAAAATAGAAATAAATTAGGAAATTAAGGACAAGAAAAACAAAACACAAATACACAGACCTAACAGCTAAGCTGGCCCATATCTTAGGGCCTTTGGACCTGCTCTTGCCTTGGACCTATTGCTTTCTCAGATCTTTTGTTTTGTTTTGTTTTGTTTTTTGAGATGGAATTTTTCTCTTGTCACCCATACTGGAGTATAATGGCATGATCTTGGCTCACCACAACCTCAACCTCTTGGGTTCAAGCAATTCTCCTGTTTCAGCCTCCCAAGTAGCTAGGACTACAGGCGCTCCTGTCATGCCCAGCTAATTTTTGCATTTTTAGTAGAGATGGAGTCTCGCCATGTTGGCCAGGCTGGTCTCAATCTCCTGACCTCAAGTGATCCTCCCACCTCGGCCTCCCAAAGTGCTTGAATTACAGGCATGAGACACCAGCCTGCTAGCTTATTCTTTCTTGTCATGTGTCTCTTTGAGATATAACTGTTCCAGAGATGCTCTCCTTGACCATCTTGTCTGAACTATCTATCTAGTCCCCTTGTGTCATCTCCCTTTGCTTTATTTTCTTCAGATCATTTATCAAAAATCAAGTCGTTACTTGTTCACTTACATATGTAAGTATTGTCGTCTGTCTACCCCAATTCAAATACCAACTCCAGCAGAGTTTGCTCACTGCCGTATCCCTAGTTCTGCATATGGGTACCAGGTGACACTTTCTAAGTAGTCTAAAGTGAGTACATGTTCTTAGGAACTTGCTAAGTGGCCAGAAACTTTCTAGAAGTTAAAATGAGGAAAGAGAAATTAGAAAGGCAGATGCTTACCACTGCTCCCCAGGGAATAATAATTTGAAAACCAGCACTTAATTATAATAGACTTGTTTTGCCAGGAACCCCATTCAGTGGGTACTGAACTGATACGGTGAGAAAACTGTCAGACAGAACTTTGTACAGGAGATACTCTTACTGTGGTCCAAATCTGGAGGGTTCTATTGGAATGAAGTTCATCCAAACCTAGAACTTAGATTAAGGGAGTAGATGTATACTCTTCAGTCAATCCTCCACAAAACTCATTTCTTTCCATTGGGTTCTTTATAAGATCTGGAAAAAAAAAACAGTTATTTAATAAATTATCTATTTTTTTCCAAAGTTCCCCTTGTTCTCCTGCTGATGATTAACTTTAACTCTTCAAATAAATTGTAAGTTGCCTAAAGGCAGAAATGATAATGTATTTAAATATGCCTTCTTATTCCTGAAACAGAAGAAGGTCTGTATATATGGCAGATGTTCATTAAGGATCAGGGTTCAGTGATGTTGATAGTATTATACAGATTCATTAGTCACATTAAAATTCATTATGTGCTAGGCTCTTTCAAGGCAAGTTCTGAAAAAACAACATTAACAGTTGGGCAGGAAATATCAGACTAGAGGACCTCATCTGGTGAACTTGGGCATGAATGAGCACAGCTAATTAGTGGCAGAGCGTAGGGCTTATTCTGCTAATAGGACCAATTCCAATGTGGGTATGGACTCACATAGGGAAATGTGTGATACATGTTTCCATCACATAGAGAAAGCATTAAAAATGTACATGATGGACTTTACTCCTAAATCAGAGATTTGGGGTTTACAGAGGTATTGAAACTCTCCCTCAATCTTGGAGGGTGTATTAGTCTGTTCTCATGCTGCTATAAAGAACTGCCTGAGACTAGGTAATTGATAAAGGAGAGAGATTTAATGGACTCACAGTTCCACAGGGGTGGGGAGGCCTCAGGAAACTTACAGTCATGATGGAAGGGGAAGCAAACACATCCCTCTTCATATGTAACAGGGAGAAGAATGAGAAGAGGGAAAAGCCCCTTATAAAACCATGAGATTTTAAAAGAACTCACTCACTACCAAGAGAACAGCAGCATGGGGGTAACCGCCCCATGATTCAGTTACCTCCACAGGGTCCCTCTGACCACACACGGGGATTATGGGAACTATAATTTAGATGAGATTTGGCTGGGGACACAGCCAAACCATATTAGAGGAATACACTGAGATACAAGTGGTGTACATGAGGTATCTAGGAGATGTAGAGAAACAAAGATGGAGGGATCCGGATATCCGTTGCATATGATAAATAACTCCAGAACGTAAAGGCTTGAAACAACCACTTTATTATTGTTACTGCCATGATTGTAGACAGAGCTCAGTGAATAACACTAGTCTCAGATCCACAATGTCTATTTCATACTGAGTTCTAAGGGAACTGGGAGAGCTGGGGATGGTCAAATAGCTCTCTTTTGTCTTGTGCTCTCAGGCTTCTCTGGGATGTTTCTAAGATGACCTTTCCACCACAGCAACCTCAGGGTAGTCAAACTTCCTGTAGCTCAGGGAGTTCTGGGAACTCCGAGTGGAAGGTGTTAATCTCCTGAAACCTGAGCCCAGAAAGTACCATAGCCTCTTTTCTGCTGTATTCTATTGGTCAAGCACAAACAGGGCCCACCAAAAATTGAGAAGAGGAGACATAAACCCCTAACCTCCAAGGGAAATGTGTCAAGGAGTTTGTGACTATCCTCAATCCACTACAGTGATAAAAAACCAAAGAGGCTTTGGGAAATGTTTGGCTTCGTAACTTCAGCAGCACAGTTTGTGTGCGTGTGTGTGTGTGTGTGTGTGTGTGTGTGTGTGTGTGTAGCTCACAAAATCAAGAGCAAGAGTTGAAAAATTTTCTGACCATACAAAAGATTAATTCTATGCCATAAACCTTAGAATACGTGGAATAGTTTGGAGGTGCTTCTAAAGTTAGTGTTAGAAAAGTTTGTTTAAAAAAATTGTGTGTATAAAATAGGATTGGCAGAATAATTAGTCCTATGTTAATTTATTATTGATTTATTTTTATTTGCATTTTTAACATGGAAAGAAAAATCTAAATGGCAAATAAAATAATGTTTCAGTGTTGGATTACGAAATGAAAATTTTGTTAAAGTAGCTATTTTGGGGGTGTAGGTTGTTGTTAAAGCCAAAAGATTGTTATGTTGTTATGAGGAAAGAAAACGTAAAATTAAACTTTACTGAATTGAATGGAAATGTCAACATGCTTAATGTTTACGTTGTGTGTCAAGTGGAAAAATACATGGTGTGGAGTTAAAAAAATTAATTTCAGTGTAGACATAAAAATCTCTGGAGCATTTTACACTGAAAATAAGATGCCTGAAGGATTTCCAGGCCAATGAGAATGCTATTGTTGCTGATATTTTTTTTGTTCTACCGAGTTGCATAACTGTACCATAAACCTACACTCTTAGAGTTTTTCAGGCTTGAATAAGCACCTATTATTGTGAACTTGTAGGATAGCTTTAACTCAACAAAGCATTCTATTAGGGGTGCTTTCCCCTACGCATTTTAGCCTGTTGAAAATTAGTCCACTTTTCACATACTTTAATTTTCTACCATATTTGTCATCAATAATGGGGAAGTTTTTGTTTTGATTATTGTAGTTGATATTTTAGTTCTTGGATTAAGAACATAATTTAGAGCACTCTTGAATTTCCAATTAACTGCCTGACTCACCATTTTTTTACTTTTCTCGTCTTTAACTTTAGGTGGCTTGTATACTCTATTCTTGTTTTATATTCAATAATAATAGTTTTGTAAGTGGCAATAGCTCACTGTGTGGTTTTGAGATTAAAAGACAGATAGAAAGTACTGAAGTGGGCCAAGCTTGGTGGCTCACACCTGTAATCCCAACACTTTGGGAGGCTGAGGCGGGAAGATCACGATGTCAGCAGTTGAAGACCAGCCTGACCAACATGGTGAAACCCTGTCCCTACTGAAAATACAAAATTTAGCCAGGCATGCTGGTGCCCCCCTGTAATCCCAGCTACTCAGCAGGCTAAGGCAGAAGAATTGCTTGAACCTGGGAGGCAAAGATTGCAGTGAGCCAAGATTGTGCCCTTGCACTCCAGCCTGGGCGACAGAGGGAGACTCTGTCTCTGTCAAAAAAAAAAAAAAAAAAAAAAAAAAAGTACTAGAGAGTAAGACCAAAATAGTCATTGTTTATTTACTGAAAATGCAATTAGTAGTAAACCTTTATAAGAAGTCCACATACTGCTTATTGATTATTAAAAGTGGTTGTTCTATGTGCTATTTCCAAATGTTTATCAGTTAGGTTTAAATGACATTGTGTTATTTTATGATGCATAGAGCTCTTTGAATGAGGATGTATGACAATTTGGAAAACATCCATGGGAACTCACTCACTATAGAATAGGTGCCAAATGCAGTAAGACTGTGATTGTTCAAACTCAGGCTATTGCTATTATCTATACAAATCCATCTTCTCTAACTCCTTTTCTCATACTCCTCAAAACCTTTTGTATCACCCATTAGTTTATCAGATACTGTGTAATAAGGAAGTAAACTGATTCCTTATTTTTATTATTAAAATATTATTCACTTTAAAAAGATAGGCTAAAAATGTTCTTGATAGATGGTCCTTTCTTTCCCAAGCAAATGATAATAGACTCATTTGGGATCACACTCATTTGGCTGATCCAATCCAGTGCCAAGAGCACATGAAAGGCAGTCAGATAGTTCACTTTAGTCCCACCAAAGACCTTCTCTCTGAAATGTTAAAGGAACTATAGACTCTTAGTTCTAAGTTTTCAACAGTGGCATATTTAGAAGGACCCTTCATTTAATGTGGGTCCTTCTAAATATGCCATATTTAAAAGGACCCTTTTTTAATAAAAGTGAAACTTCCATTTTCCACAGGAATGAATAAAAGAGAGGCATCCTGATGATAGTATCTAGGCATTATTTTGAGATTTTCAGTGGTTTTCTGGGAACATATAAAATTCGTTATGAAATTAAACAATGTATCTTCTGTGGTTTGAATATCTTCTCCAAAACTCTTGTTGAAACTTAAACCCCAATGTGGCAGTATTGAGAGGTGGGGCTATTAAGAGGTGATGGGGTCATCAGGGCTTAGCCTTCATAAATGGATTAATCTATTCATGGATTAATGGATTCATTAATGGAGGTAAGAAGACAGGTGGCTTTATCAGAAAAAGAACAGAGACTGGAAATAGCATGCTCAGCTCCCTTGCCATGTGATGCTCTCACCAGATGCAGCTCCTCCAACTTGGACTTCTCAGCCTCTGTAACTGTACAAAATAAATTATTTTTTCTTTATAAATTACCCAACTTGAGGCATTCTGTTACAAGCGACAGAAAATGGACTAAGACAATATCCTGACTTGTTTTGAACAATCCACCGTAATGTACACTCCGTCAAAGCAAGGTCTTTGTTTTGTTCACTATGGTATCTCCAAAACGAAATCAAGGCCTGACCTACATGCTCACCATCTATTAAATGAATGAATGAATCTCAATGCTATAAAGGTGACAAAATCCAGGCATTACTATTCTAATGATATAATTTTGCTACCACATGATGAAGCATGATAAACTGATCAGGTTGTCTTGATCCACTGAGTGAAAAGAATCAATCTATTTAAGACAGATAAAGCAGTTAAAAAAGCAAACTCAAGTCAATTGAATATCTTATATATCTTCATTCTGACCTGTTCAGATGGACTGACTTTTCAAATGCCATGGTTACTTTTCCCTCTTTAGACTTTCAAGTTGGAAAAAGCTTTTTTTTTTGCGTTCAGAAAGATAAAATATCAGCCATGTATTCAATGAGTAATTTTTTTTCTCTCAACTGCTTTTATTCCAAAATCTTAAATCCTGACAATCCTGCAAGGATATAAATGTTTTTGTTTGTTGACATTCTCTGTCAAAGAGACTTCTAAGCACCTTTGTATTTCTGATGTGAATAAAAGTAATACAACATTGAATAATAATCCAGGCAGGTTGCAGGTGGCATAAGGCTTCAGAACTCCACCATAGAAATGAACATGATTGGAAATGCAGCAGTCAACATTTTGACAGAAGAGTGGATGTTTCAACTGCTTTATGTTCATAAATTATTTTTATATTCTTTTTATTTTACAAAATATAAGCTGTGTGAGTTTGTATCATATGTGTATGTGTTTGTATGTAAATTGAAAGGTTTATCCTGTAATAAGATAGAATCAGAGATAGAG